ATGAACTAGACATTAGCACATTTGTCCCTATTCCAAAAGTATCAAACACAATAAAAGTATAGGTACACCGTCCTATCATTAACCTTGAAAAAACTAGTTGATCATATTGAAGCAAATAATATTCTTTATAACCATTCAATTAACTGTATGCAAATTAACAAATTAAATTGACAACAATAAGCATTTTATTGCTATGTTTCTTGAATTGGAAAGAGCATTTGAGACCATAGATAGAAATATATTATCATTTTATGGAATTTCTGGTAAGCTATATGATTGTTTTTTTAATTACTTAAATGGCAGAAAACAAACGGTGAAAATTGATCAGAATACGTCTAATATAATTAAAATAAAATCGGAGTACCGCAGGGTAGTGTGCTGGGTCCGCTTTTAATTATTTTATATCTCAATGATTTGCATTTCTCTGAAAGTGAATTCGTTCTTTTTACTGATGATCCGGTACTGGCATGCCTGATAGTAAGTATAAAGTTATCAACAAGAAGGATTTTGTTTTGGATAAGGTCGATGACTATACAAAACTCAGTTTGGCTAAAACAGAGGTTATGATCATAACAACCAAACTCTAATGCAGTCTCATTAGCATATCCTATCTTGATATTCGCATTAAAAATGAAAAAAGTTTCGCAGCAAGCTGAAATTTTCAGAGTTTTTTCTACATGGATTACAATAAAATGAATAATTAAATACAACCTACAAAGTTGAGGGTTGGAAGAGATTTTTCACAAAAAAATTAATTTAAGATTTATTGCGTTGATTTCTAATTAGCTATGTTAAAAGGTAACATAACCATTGCTGAAACTAACGATTTAGCTCATGTCAAAAAAAAATCACAGCCCTAAACCTAATGGTCTAGTTGTTATTGCGATTTAAGGTTCATTATCCCGTTTTTTCGAAATTTGACAAAACTGCAAATAACTCCTGAACTAAAAGAATTTCGGATCACACATATAGGTATATGTTTTGAGGCCCTGTATCATCTGACTTCCGTTGATCCACTACTAACTTTACACCCTTTATTTACGTCTTCGACTCTAGCAATACCAGCTAGCCAGAAACATGCAATGCTCTTGACCAGCGGAGGGTCCGTTCCGAAATCAGCAACGCCGATGCTGTCTCAGGACATCTTCGAAATTTATTTTATTGTCTTTCCTAGGGCCTTATTGTTTTTAGGTGTGACGCCTCTGGCGTTTTCTTAGCGGGTCGCAGTAACTTTTCCTTGGACAGTATGCCCGTGTCGGTTGGAAAAAGAGGAAGCGGCAAGAAATACCGCGACGGTATGTATTGGAGGACGCCTTCTATGGCGCTATCTTCGCATCGCTACGTTTTTGCTGGGAATTGCAGGCATTCCAACTAAAATTGTTGAATTCAAGCGTAACTCAGGACCGTGGAAAAGGGGTTCTCTTCCTTTCATAGACCATACAGTTGCATTCACGTGGATTACGTTTCAATGAAAATGTATCTCCCGGCTTAGAACACAAGGTTGACTTAATTTGAGGACCGACCAAAGTGGATTCGTTGTACAAATTGCAATTTCATTGTTATTGGATAATACTTCACGAGAATCGTTGTCGGAATAATTTCTTGAATGTTTAACAACATTAGTTCCATCATAAATGGTGCGGAGCACAGCTTACTTTTTTAAAAACTTACTAATAAAAGCAATATATTTAACATACGGTCTAGATCCTCTTGCTGTGAGATATTTGCTAAATACAAAATACCTACAGTAGCATGTCTTTATGAGCTTTTAACATATACTTTCAGCACAGAAATGATCATCTTAAGCATACTGACTGCACATGACTGCAGCATTCGTAATAAAAATAATATAGTTAGGCCTGTGTCTTATCATACATTTCATACAAAATCTCCCCAGCACCAGGGATATACCAAATTATTACCTCCAGGAATTAAAAACGTAAACTTGATAGGGCTGAATTTGTCACATTCCATAATGCTTCTGATAGATCTTAATAAATAATTTATTTCCATGTGTGTATGCATCATATTGTTTTTTATGTTCCTATTGTTGTTTGTATTGCACTTCATTTTATCTAGATTTTAATCTGTATACAACGTCTTATCTAATGTCTACAATGTAAACCTAACTGGATTAATAAATTAATCTAAACCTTTTATTGAGAGCGAAGCTTACCTTGAAGCTATTCTACCACTCAACTCTTGAAAAGTATGAAAAAATACAGGAGCAATTATAAATATGGAAAAGTATTACACATACTATAGTAGTAGTATATAATATTTTACTAGCAGTAAATAATGAAAATTTAATTATACGTACGACTGTACACCGAAAAGGAAAGATGTTGCAAGGTGAAGCGTCAAACTATGCTGGTGAGTACTTTTATAAAATAAATTGATTGATTTATTTCTTAAATACATTGTAATTTAGGGATTTCAATGCCTGAAGTACTTCATTATAAAGCGTTATCGCATTGTATGTTTTGTGAACAGGCATTGTGAGTGTGTGTAAACCCAAGTCTCTCAAAGAGGTTATATTTCCTCAAATTATTTATTAGTCTGCAACATGAATTTTGAATTTTTTGTAAACTTGAAGGCGTATTGTATCCAAAAAATGAATTGTAAGCTATATCCTAGTAAGTGATTTTGGGCATAATTAATGATTCGAATAAGATTATTGTAGTTTGATAATCTGGAATTTGCTTATTCAGATATAACTGACGCAAGATCGGAAAGCAGTTTTTAGTAACAAATTCGCAAGTTTTTGACTGCTTCATTGATAAAATAATCACTTTTGATTTTGAAGGGTTCAGTTTGAGGTTATGATTTTTTGCATAGTCGTACTCGATTTTATATCTTCATTGATTCCATATTCAGCGATTTGAGTGCTGCTACTATGGAAGTGGTTATGAATTTGAGATTCATCACCAAAAAATGTTTAACGAATGTGAGCAAGTCGGAGATATACAAATTAAATAATAATGGTCCGAGTACGTTGTGGTATTCCAGACAAAATGGCACATTTAGGCGATACGTCCATATCAATAGTAACTTTTTGAGAACAATTATTAAACTGATTAAACATTCATCATATTAATAGCAGAATAGGAAAAAGCCGTGAGATTTACATGTAGCAAGTAGTACACGATCATTTAGACGTTCGAATACCCTAGTAAAATCAAGAAGTGCTTGTGTTGTTATCATATGCTGATTCTATGTTCTAGCAATATTGTCTTCCAGCTCCAGCAATGCACCTGCAGTAGTGTAGCCCTTCCGGAATCCGCATTGTGCTGATGGTAATAAAATTCATTGTATGGACCAGTAAGGTTTTACTTGTTTTACATAGTTTTGAAGAACAAATCAGATAGATGACGTACCCTATTCTCCACACACTGAGTAAACCGATTTCTGGGGTTTGTCATGAATCTTGCCATCATAGCAGGCGCTATGTTGGCAATTTAACTTCCTGGATGTTGACCTTCAACTGTTGTAGGGTCCTTGGACGGTTCAGATAAATACGGAATTTCATAAACCCAACAGAAGAGATCAAAAGGGACCAAATTCGGAGAGCCACTATATCTGATACCAGCATAAACAGCATTTCGGAAGATTAGACGTGGCAACAACCAAATAACAACCCGAATTTTTCCTGCATTTTTTTCTTCAACCCGGATATCCTGGGCGAGCTGTATTTATTGTTATACCTGTTTAGTTATTTGTTGTTAAGGGAAAGAAAGAATTTAATTTGCTGTCAGTTACCTTTGTGACAATCTTGGGATAGTGAAAATCAATTTATTGATTCAGATTTTACTTCCAAAATGGTTTACACACTAGCCGAAAGAGTGTAAATGATTCTAGTTTATGGTGACCAAAATCAATGTGCTCGGCAAACTGCCGTCACGTTTAACGCATGATATGTTTTTGACCTTGCTACTAAATTAACTCAAACTGGATCTGTTGCAAATTAAAAATGTGATCATCGGAGAGTTTTGGATGAAGCTGCTCAAGTTGAAGGTTTGGGTCATTTTGGAATAAATCGTAACACTTGATTAGGCAAAATTGTTGCTGCGACTGGTATTTCATTAGCTCTTCTACACACAGTTATTAAACTCAATAAATTTCATCTATTGCTCAGAGCACAGAGCCCAGAGCTCACTCTGTCACGGCAATGCAATTGCTTTTGAACCTGCATGTCTCCTCCGAATCAGTATCTCTGACAGTCAGCTTCGCACTTGTGACAATGAAATTGGTGACTGGAATCACAATTTTTTCATTTGTCCTCAGCTCAACCACGAGCGTGAACGACTTCGGACATTTATCAAGGATGATCATCTAACCTGTCCCACGAACTCAACCGTAGTTTTGAAGATGAAATGCAAGTCTGTTTTCACGAATCATTAAATCTATCTTAAATATAGCTGTATTAAAGGTTTTTTTTGTAGAAAATGTTTTTTTTCTGTGACGGGACAAAAGTTTGTCATTTTATCTCTGTTGACAGGTAACAAAATGTCACTTTTTATAAAATTACTTTTTCCCGGATATTGTATAAACGATTTAGCAGGAAATAATTTTTGTGACGCTACTTTGACAACTTCTACTAACTCCGGTGGAGTCAAAGAAAATGCGGAATCAGACGTTTTTTACTTTATAGAATGAAAAATAACTTCTAAACAACCACTAAGTTCACAATTTCTAATCAAAATCACAAAATTACATTTACAGCTATTTGATTACTTTAAAAGTTTCTTTAGCATCGCAGGTATAATTGTCGCTATAAGTACAACATAGCCTACTAATTTCAAAATTCAAATTTCACATCGATAATTTATTTTATACTGTTATAATATAATTTTCCAATATGAAATCGTCGTTTTTCCCGCCACAAAAAAAAATTGTGTATTATACACGGGACAAATACTAAATTAGTACTTTTTTATTTGTATAATAAATAACTATTTTTTGCTATGCTTACACTATTTTCAAAAGAAGAAAAGTATAGTTTACTTACACATTTCTCTTCCAAGTACCCACGTCTCAGGCCTCGAGTTCACCTCCACCAGCACAGTCGGAGTGCACACCAACAACACCATCAAATCAGCCACACTAAGGTTCACCAAGAAGATGTTCGTACTGTTCCGCATGTCCTTGGTCTTGAAGATCACTATCGGTACCATCACGTTCCCGATCACGCCCAAGCACATGATCAGGATACAAAACACCATGGACGTGGTCCTGATGTAGGTTGGGAAAACAGGGGTCACGTGACTGGGGTCAGAGTAGTTTGAGATGTTGGTGGCATTGGGAAAGTCTGAGGACAGAGTGTAGAGGTAGCTGAAGGTGGTCTCGTTCGGATCTGGTAGATTGGAGTTGTACGTCGAGGCAGCTGATGATGTGAAGGAGACTATCGTGGAGATCATGTCATCGTTTGCGGGTTGGTGGTGACTTTGGCGGGCCAGCGCGGTGTGGTGATCTGTAGCAAAAAAAGGAAGAGGTCAAGAATATAGCAGAGCTTCTCAAAAAAAGGATCTAAGACCGACCCTTACAACTACAGGCCTATAGTTCTGCTTTTTGTTATAAGTAAGGTGATGCAGAGGTGCATAAATCGCGAGTTTCTGGACTACCTCGAACGTCACAGCTTGGTTAGCGACAGGCAGTATGGTTTCCGGCACCAACGATCCACAGGGGACCTCCTAGCTTACGTCACGCAATTGTGGAGTCAACTCATGCAGTCTTATGGTGAGACTCATGTCGTTGCTTTTGACATCACGAAAGCGTTCGATCAGCTGTGGCACGCTGCCTTCTTAAGCAAACTTTCATCCTATGGCCTCCCAAAAAAGCTTTGCAGATGGGTGGCTGACTTTATCTCTGGACGCAAGATATCCGTCGTAATTGACGGGTAGTCCTCTTCATCCCACAACGTCAACGCGGGTATTCCCCAGGGATCAGTCTTGGCTCCAACACTGTTTCTCCGAGGACCTGATCTGGCACGAACATTTAAAAAATATCAAAGAAATTATTTTTTAAATATTCATCCGTGTTGAAGAATGCCTTTTTTATTAAGTCATCTTTGAGTTTCCCCGAAAAACGGCAACATCTAATAATTTCACATTATTAGGCAGCAGATGAAAAAACTTATTGCCATAAAAATGTATGTCAACCTTAGACTTTTCAAGGCCGGTGCTTATTTCCCGTTAACAATCTTAGCGTTGAAGAAACTAATATTATTTTTAATATGTAAGAGGCAACTCAAAATAAAAGCTCTTGGATCCTTAATTTATTTAACTATATTTTTGAAACCAGAGATGACTCGAACCATGTCAAGTATATGGAAAGTGTAATTGTGAAGGCAGCCATACATAAGAGCAGTATCCTAGGCTGGATCTTACCTATTGTGAAGAGTAAGATGATCGGTTGGTGGTAACTATTAACGCACTCAAAAAGCTAATAACAATAATAATAATAATAATAATAATAATAATAATGGCGAGTTGCATCAGCACAAGCTGTTCTTCAGAACCAACCAGGGCTAAAAAAAATACAATTAGATGCAAATTCAAAAAAATAGAAAGTGAAGATAATAAGAAAAGTCAAAGAAGAAAAAAATATAGCATCATAGTCTATGCATGGAGTAATGACCAAAAGAGAAATCTGCATCAACAGATTGTCTAACAAGATCTAAAATCTCGCTTAGAAATAACATTAAAAAATAATGGCTGACGGAAGATATAAAAACTGAAAGCTTAAAAGCTCGTATACAAAACATAAACAAACGGAAAGAGGTAAGTGAGAAAACATGCACAAATAAACAAATATAAAAATAAAATTACATAAAAATACGTGTTACATGTCATCAAAGGCAAAGAGCTTATTTTTTTGGAGCTGAACACATATAGAGTTTTGAGGTAGTCTGCTGAACAAAACGGGTACCAAAAATGAAAAACTCTTTCTAAATTGGGTTGTTCGGTGCCTCGGTAAGTCAAGAGTGCATCCTACAAAACGCAGATTTGCTGAGTGACGATCATCTCATGGTAAGGTTTTTCTTAAAATAAATAGACATTTTCTTCATCAGAATATTGTGTATCAATGATTATAGATGCAGTATCCTTCTTTGTCGCATAGTAAGCCATTGCATTTTTTTAATATGATCAGACACCCTCTCCCGTCTTTGAATACGTAAACTGAACCTTATGCAATGGTTTTGCACTTTTTGGAGTCTGTATGCCTCGTTCTGTGTCAGACATGGACCACAAAAAAGGTCCTAGTTTTCAACTTCACTGAGGAGATAGCGCCACTTCTTTGCGATGTTTTGTTTATGCATGAGAAACTCCATGAGTTGAACACACCGCTTCTTCCAATTACGTATTCAAGTCACTGCACGATTATACATATCAAACGTCTGCAGTTGTGTATAAGTCTGAGTCGATGTATCACGATATTCATGAGAAAATAGCGGGAGTAACAGCTTGGAATAACCGGTGACTACTGGTAAACAAATCATCGCTCATGTCGGATAGAATTAAAGTCGTATATATTTTATTTGTCGGTTCGGAATTCATTGCAAATGCATGACCCAAGTTAGAGTTCTCCTGCTGACCCGAAAAGTGTCTCCTAACTCTAGTCAGATAACCCAGCTTTCTTCCATCATCTGATGACAAGCCAAACTCAATGACTTCTTGCCAAAGCTCGGTCATCCTTTGAAAACCGGATGCGTACAATGTCGATTAATTTTTTTACAACAGAGATAATCCACAATCTGTAAGAATTAAGTCATTCTAAAATCTACTTCCAAGTGTCTTAAATCGTCAAGCGACAGAAAACATAAATCACTCGTTATGCTTGACAGCTGGTGCTGTTGGGAATCAAAGCCATGGCGTCATGATTACTGATCCTATCTACTTCTCTGCCCTTCTTTTAATTATAATTTATCCTTTTTGCACATTTGAAAGTTGATATGCCGCTACCTATTCCGGCAAAAATATGCAGCAAACGAATCTAAACGTCTGTAAATCAGTCATTGCAATTTATATTATGTTTGTTCGGTATTCCTGTATTTGCCACTTTTAGTATCACTATTCATTATTGCGATATGTGCCTACCGTGACATATAAGCATACAGAATAAAACAGAAGTTCCTAACGAATTCAATTTTCGACCACAGATCATTACCGTTTACGATTTAGAGTTGAGTGATCGATAAATGTTGTTGCACTAGGAACATAGTACGTAGACTGGTGAGTCTATGAGTCTAGTTTAGCATAAGAAAGCATTGCTGTCATTTGATTACCTGGATAAATTACGTCTCTTTCCAAAAAAATACATATTATAGAACTAGTTGTAGACTTCCTTAAATGATGCGATATTAGTGTTTCTATTTTATATTATTATCGATAGCCTATAGCATAAGAACTGATAACTAAATAATATATTTGTTTGAATTTTATCGCAAAAAGGGACCTACATTCATGATGACCTTTCTGTCATCAACATTTAAAGCCATAATCCAGAAATTTTGTATAATAATTTTCTAAACTGTGGAGAGTCTAGGTAGATAGAGAAAATGATGTATTCTCAAGTCATTTGTGGAAAGGATAGTATCACTATTTGTTATTGTGATATGTATGTACATACAGTGACACATAATCTGATGGAATGAAACAGTAATTTTTAACGCTATCAATTTTCGGCCACAGATCATTACCTTTTATGATTTAGAGTTGAATGGTCAATAAATCTTGCTGTACTAGGAACCTAGTATGTAGACTGATGAGACTATGAAATGGTAGTTTAGCATATGAAAGCTTCGCTGTCATTTGATTACCTTCAGTACAATCTTTGATAAGATTTATTTATTCAATTATTTATTCAAATTCAAAAACCAATACAACTTACAAATTAAAAACAACCTTCAGTACAATTTAAATAAAAAACAGTTTCAAAAATACATGAGCTTGTATGCTCTTGCTACCCTGAATAATCAAGATTGCAACAGAAATCTAAACAAAGAAACAAGCATCAGATCTAGAACAAGCAAGTTACGGTATATGATAAAATTGTGAAAATTCTGTATACTTTCGTAAAGGGTAAATGACTGAATCTTGTCGTCATAAATTACTAAATTACGTGTCTGAATAAGCAAATCTAAAATTCATAACAATAGTACAGAAGCATACTAAAACACTCAAAAGTTTAAATATAGAGTACATAAAATATGAATATCTGAAATATGAAAATATAGGAATATTTCGAGTAAGGTCAAACAATTATGTTTAAACAATAAAAATTTTCCGTAAAGGTTAAGCAGAGAAACAAGAGTACTACAATTTACTACAAAAGAATTTACTACAAAAGAATAGACATCTAAGCTATAAGCTTGTGTGTGTCATACAATATACAAATTCAATGCATGGCTAATGGTCATAAAGTATATTATGAGCAAATGTATATAAAAAAAAGAAATAAAAAACATTAGATTTTGCGTGGTTTGTAGTATTTTTAAAGTACTACTGTATGCGGCTCCCCATATACTTATCCCGTAAGTTAGTAGAGACCCCACAAACGAGTTATATATTGAGAGAAGACTCTTTCTGCTTAAAATATTCCTAAGAATGAAAAACTTATGAATAATTATCCTTAATTTCGATGCCAAAAGTTCGGCATGACTCCGCCATTTTAAATTTCTGTCAACAGTGATTCCTAAGTATCTAATAACTTCAACTCTTTTGACAGTGTCAGCACTATCATTTATAATTAATGTTCGGTGGTGTAATGGCATGCCTGCTTTGGTTGGAGAAAACGGCACATACTTAGTTTTAGAGATTTTGAGTTTAAGTAAATTGTTATCCAACCAGCATTTGACTTTATTTAATGACAACTCGGCATTCCGTATTGCGTCATCCCATGAATGACCAGTGCAAACTAAAACAGTATCGTCAGCATATGATATCATTTTACAGTTGAAATTGCATCGAAGTAGTTCATTTATGTATATGAGGGAAAGTGTTGGCCCCAAAACCGTCCCCTGAGGCACACCTATTTTCATCTTTTAAATGCCGCTTAAATCTGACCCTAACTTAACTTGTTGTAATCGATCAGCCAGATAGTTCTCAAATAAACTCAGAACTTCACTACGCACTCCAACACTTTCTAGTTTATTTAATAAAATTGTATGAGATACTGAATCGAAAGCCTTTTGAAGATCTAGGAAAACTGCAACAGTCTTATTTCCATCTTGAAAATTTTCAAGCACTTGTCCTGTAAGTTCTTGTAGAGACTGCTCTGTATTGCAATTTTTGCGGAACCCAAATTGGCAGTTCGATATTATGTCATATTTCTCAAGAAAAGAACAAAGTCTGTTATTCAAACACTTCTCAAAAATCTTCCCAAATACATTGATAACTGAAATAGGTCTATAATTGAATATATTGTCTTTACTTCCAGATTTAAATATTGGTGTCACTATGCTTTCTTTAAATTGGCGAAGAATTACTGAGGATTTCAAACATAGGTTGATAATGTGAGTTAAAGGGTGACTGATATACTTCATGATCATCTTGATAGTTTTAGTGTGTAAGACATCTTTTCCGGGTGCGCTATTATTTTTCAGATTACAAACCTGAATGATAAATTACGTCGATGCTTTCCAACAAAACCATATTATAGAACTAGTTGTAGACTTCTCTAAATGCTGCGATATTAGTGTTTCTGATTATGTTTTGAACAATACTATATAAAATAAATACTCTATACTATAGCATATAAAATGACAACTGAATAATATATTTGAACAGTTTGAATTTTACTGCAAAAACGGACCTAGATTCATGATGGCCCTTCTTTCATCAACATTTAAAGTCGTAATCAAGAAATTTTGTATAATAAGCCGTGGAGAGTCTAGGTAGATAAAGAAAATGATGTATTCTCATTTCATTTGTGGAAAGGATGTTGCTCCCTCCAAAAACAACTTCAAAAGATAACCAGTTGACTGATTTACTACTAATGCTGACACGATATCTTATATTGTATCAGCTAGGCCGAGGTGGGACCACGACGACTGAATACAGTTTTATCAGAATGGTGAATAGGGCTTTCTCTAGAGAGTAGTCAGGGGTTGAAATCCGAACACTCTTATCAGAATTCAAAGGGCGGGTTTCGTTTATAGTGCATATACACGAAGCACTCTCAAATCGTAAACGATAAATTGGAACCAAGAAGTTTGGACATTCCCTTAAGATATCGAATTTTAGTATTATACTGATCTGAAGTTACGATAGCCCCAAGCAATAACATTGAAACAGAATAATTCGGAATATCATGAAAGTCAATACAAAAATCGTAATCCCAACATCACCAAAATATTTTAGAACGCACTTACAAAATGGTACGCATCATCAGTTCATCAAGGGTTCAGGACAAGTGGGGCCCTCTGAGAAAACAGTTAGTTACTATCATGTGTAACAGAGGAATTAAACGGATCAAGTCAGCTAAACAGGCCCATACAATTAGTCCATATATTATTTTCCAGTCTTACCGGTAGTAACCGTCCATCTGGCAACGTCTCACCTCCCCCTTCCCTGACCACACGATGCGATAGACGTGGCAGCGCGGCACTGCGGCAGTAATGGCAGGACACTCATCGAGACCGGCAGACCCGCGGG